CGGACCAGAAACATGACCACAAACGGCCAAACAAAGAGACTTCCAAGGAAAACAAATAAATGTTTTCGAGGGTTCAGATCCAGGTCCTGACGTTGATTTGATTATGCCACCTTTCAACCCTTGAGTGCACATCAAAAGCCTGTGGCTGGGATTCCAGCTGCGGATCTGCTTTGGGCCATTTCAACACCTCAAATTAGTGCACTTTGTAGTTTCGCCGGTCGCCTTTGGTTGTTGCTCAAATTATAAAATTTGTCTGGGCCTCTCCATAAATCCTTAACCATCTCACGCACGTCCTGCCAAGGCTGGTCGTCCTTGGGTGGTCGTGGTCTCTTGGTCAATGATTTGCTTCGTTGACTAAGCAAATTAAGTATACGACCCACGTGCCGGGACTGCAAAGCGAACGAAGGTGTTCGGCTGCCTCAAAATGTTTATAATGAGCTAATAAACACAAATTGATTGTGTGTGAAATTAAAAGCGAAAGTTTTCACCTCACTGCCGAGTTGAACATTTGTTTTAATCGGCATCGGTTTATTGGCTGATATAATTGCAAAGATAAAGTTATTATTTAATAAAACGGAAATTAATTTCAGCTATAATTTATTTGTGTAATAGTAAAGGTGAGCAATATCTTGGGAGATTTAACGATATTAAAGGTAGCGCAATGGTCATATTCAAAATTATTAAGAGCAAAATTAATTTTAATTATTTTCAGGAATACAATTTAAACACCTAAATATATATGTTAAGTTTGGAAAATACTATATAGATATTAGATTTACTAAATTAAATTCAAAATCACCAAATTTAATAATGTGGTAAAAAAAATCTTTAAAAAAAGCATACTCCATACATTTCAAACCATTCATTAAATACCATTTTGCTATTACCTACACAACACTTCAAGTGTTAACAAATAAGTAAAAAGCAAGTTCCTTATAAAATCAAAACTACATTTAGTAAGAAACAAAAAGATTTGTCTTACTATTATTTAAGTTGTACAACCACTATAAGATTTTATTCTGCCCCTTTCTATTTACTTATTTAGCACAATTTCGGTTGATTGTACGCTCTATTTAAAGGCTTGGCCCACAAGCGCCTCGGGAGGACGCTCAAATCGCTGACCAAAATTGACCAACACTTTTGGCCATAGGCCCAGAGACCCATAAACTATGCATTAGCTGCCGGGCACATGTTTAAAATACCAAAATACCTAGCTCACGCACCGACCGGGAGCTGTGCCATTATGTGCATTGCCATCGCCTCGTCCTTGGTGTTTTGCGTCCTGCGTCCTGCCACCTCTTGCCCACCCACCAGTGTCTGTCCAGTGTCCCGTGGCCATCTTTTGTCTTTTGCCCACGGCCTTTATCTGACTGCGGCACAATGACGCGGCGTATGAGTAATGGGTGGGAGTGGTAGTAGCGGGGGAGCTGGATGGACTGCATCTACATAGGACTTATTTCGTATACGCGCCGCGTAGCATTTTGATGTGGCTGCCACACCAAACCACACCAGCCCAGCCCAACACCATTCCACATCTCCTCTCGCCACGTATAATAAAGTGTTTGCGACTTTTTCATTGCTCACGTACGCTTTTCATGACTGACTTCTTATGCTTTAGGTTAAGGTCCTGGTGCCGTGGATTCGGGTCCTCGAATGTGTGTGTGCTAAGCGAGTGCTTTATTTCATTAAGTTGGCTCCGTCCGAAAATCTTTGTGGCCAACTTTTGTGCTTAATATCCCGTTGTGAGCTCCGTGCGGTTTCTGCGGGATTCCTTTATAGTTTCTATCACCCGAACATCTTCGTTGGGAAATGGCTAACAAAGTACAGGAGAGCAGGCCAAGATTTCTTTTGTTTTTCCCTCCTCGACCGTCCTCGTGTCGGCATTTATTTACATATTTATGAAGCGAAATATTAAGAATTATATGCGGAGGTTGAGTCTCCAAACTGGCCTTTATCTCGCACTGAATTTTGCCATTTTGCCTTTACCGGTTTGTGGAGTGGGGGCATTCTTCCTGCATATTTGCCAGCCAGGAATTTTTTATTTTTGGCCCAAACGAACAAACGAACCCAAGGGCGCAGCAGCAGCTACTACACATTTCGAATAGCAATAATATTTGTAGACAAATATCTCGGCTGGCAGTCGTCTCCTGCCGTTTCATGGGCCCCTTTGAAGGTGAACTCAAAAGTACAATCCAAGGCCTTGCGGTTGCTGGATTCGTTTTCATTTTTGTTGGCGCCATAAATTCTTATTAATTTATAATAAAAATTTGCGAAAAGCCAGGCGAAACGGGGCTAAGGAATTTTGCAAATTAATATTTCATTTCGAATGCTCCGCATTGATGCGGTCTGGCTGTTTGATACGAGCAGAAATATTGTAATGCCTGCTGGCGAGAATTGCACAAAAATTGTTGCATGCCTTGCCGTTAGGCGGCTAATGAAATTCTCTTCATGCGCAAATTAATGATATAAAGGATGAGTTCCACCCTCCTCCGTTTTGGTCTGCGTGCCAAAAGCGATTAAGTTCGCTATAAATTCTAATTACCAGAGAGTTACGAGTTGGAAAATTACATTTTATTATATGATAAAAGTTAAGCTTCAACTGGACGACGATAATGTATACCAGAATAGATTTACATGCGTATTCCCCGAACAAAGCCAACCGCAAACTCCACTTAATCATGTGTCGCTGCCCAAAAAGGAGCAGCTGCCTTCCCCTCCGTTTCCAGATCCAGATCCATCTCCATCTCCAGCGCCACTCCTTCCCCTACTTCTCCACCGTATTCAAGTGTCAGAAGTGCAATTTATTTTTATGTTGTGTAGTGTTGTTTTGGCAAAAGAGAAAAAGACCAAGCCAAACCTAAAACCAAACGAAAAGCTGGAACCAGCGGACGCGCGACTCCCAACAATACACAAAATAAACAAAAGCTGGACAGAAATGGGATGAAGTGAGTGGGTGGATGGGTGGCTTTGCCGGGCTGTGCTGCCATAGTGCTTGTCCAGCTGGTGTGGCCATAAAAACCAAAGCTGGAGCTCAATGTGGTCTGCGTTGGCTATATGAAAAGTGTTGATATATGCATGGCCAATGTGTAGGTAGAGAGAGCGATGTGGTGATAGATCTATGGCAGTCTATACGCGAACTAATAGGGTTGGCCCTCAATCGATTTCAGATTTAATCTGCCAATTTCATATTAGAACTACAACAAATAAAACCATCAAATGGAATGATTTAGATTCCAATAAAATATATATATAGTACAGGATGGTAAGAGAATAAAAGATTAAAAACAAACAGTTTCCTTATAAAAACTATCCACTTTTAATCTCCCAAGTTCTAGTCTTCAGACAGACGTGTCAAAAAGCATCTAATGGCAGAATAATTTATTTATGTGCTAATTAAGTCGCTGGCTGCCCAAGTTTTTACCAACATTACTGGAAAGGCACGGCCCAAAGCCAGATGGGTACCATGCAACTCCAATTGCAAGTGCAACAACATTCTCGATGTCACGTTTCGAGCAACTAATTTGTAAATATTCGTCTGAAGGCAAAAAGTTTGCGGTGTTGTGTGGGTCTCCTCCGGGCGGCAAGCCACCTCTATCCCTGCAATATGTCAAAGGTGCAAGAACGCGAAGTGGGCGGGTGCAGGTGAAAGAGGTGCAGAGGTGAAGAGGTGGGCTAAAATACAGGTGAAGGCAGCTGCATGCCATGTGGGACGTGTGCGGTTTTGATGCGGTTTCGGTTTAACAGCTCCCCATGTAAGCCGCCGCCACCTGGACCCATAAAATGCAGTCAACGAGCTATGCGGATAGAGATGAGTTTTGTCAGCTTAAAGTGGCTCATAATGAAGTTGCTACTGCACGTGCTGCTGCCATCGGAATTTGAATGTTGATTGAAAGGGCAGGTGACCCGGGGATACGGGAAAAACGAATACAAAACTTATTTTAGTTTATTGTATAAAATTGCTGTGTTTTGTGCTACTGCTATAACATTTCCTTAGTTTATGGTCATTTTTTAAAAGTGTTACGTAGATATTCAGCATTGGTTCTGAAAATTGTGCTGTTAGTTTCGGCAATAAATAAGTGATTTACAATGGTTAAAATGGGACTAAATTTATATGTAAAAATTTAAAATTTACATATATAAATATTTAAAAATTAAATGAACAAAATGGTAACGACTACAAAAAAAAAAAAATGTATATACATTCTTGTCTTAATGTTTCCACATGCAACATTCGTTAGCGACATTAAATTTAAATCAAAATTGTATTAAATGAATACAAATAGATTGAAAATTAAAAAATGCAAACTGTAGGGAGAGTTGGGGTCGAAAGGGTTAACAAATCAGTAGCTTAGCTACATTTGTTTAATTAAATTTTAAATATATACCAATTCACCCAATAGGCCCAAAAACAGAAAAGATCTAATTTTTTGTAATGTTCATTCTGAGATTTAAATTTAGTTTTAGTTTTGATATTTAGATTTTACATTGGTCTTAAAATATAATTTTTTGTCGTACAAATACACCATGTTTAAGTTTGGGAAGAGTGTCTCCTTCATGCAACTCGAAGCACTTAGCATGAATTTTAATGCTGCGAGAGGCACCGCCGTTTCGGCCTTTCATCAAAATTCAATTGTCTCCAGTTCGGGCCCTCGACGCCAGTTCCAGATACCAGATCCCCGAGATCCGGTACTGGAAACGGCTCCCGCTAAAACGGACAATCCGCCATGCCATTGTTGACCCTTTTCGGTCCTTTGTTTTTCGCTCGGCCAGCCAAGCGAGCCAAGTGGACGTTTATCTTTTGCAGTCACTGTGCACTTCTAGTTGGCCCGGCCAAAAGTACAAGCTGCAAGTGTATATAAACCATTTTATTTGCGCTCTGGTGCGGCATATGTTTGCATAACATTCCGTGGAGCGTAAAGAGCCCAAACTAGCGGCATAAAAAGAGCTCCTTGGGGCCCCTATTTCAGTCCTTTAAAGCCGAGGAATTTAACGCTTGCTCGTCACATACAGAATCCTATATATTTTCAGTTTTCTTTGTAATTTTTAACATGGTCAAATTCATAAAACCCGTTCTGTGTGTCAAGATACAATTTTTTTTTTACGTTTTTGGAATGCACGCGCTGAAAACAGCAACCGACGGCGGAGGTCAATGAAGGAGGGTATATGGGTGGTTGGGTTGGTTTTGCTTTGGTTGGTGGTGGTATTGGCATCAACGACCGGGCCGGCTTACACGCAATAAACCGCTTTGACCACCGATCCCTGCTTGCACATCGAGTCCTTGTGCAACTGGTACTGCAGCTGGTGGGGCGGCAGGACGAGCAGGTCGCGAAGCTTGAGTCCAATCTCTATGACGGCCATCTCGTTGTGCCCGTTGGCGGTCCAAATTGCTGCTGGAACAGAGGCGCTGCATTAGAAGTTGTCATGGCAGTGCTCAAGGGCTAGTTATGCTAAGTGCACTTGAAAAAATTGGATTAAATATCTAAATTCTAAAAGTCTCCATTGAAACAACTACAACTTTTGTTTTTCTTAAAATATAATGGAAAACGAAATGCAGTTCTAAGAAATGACATCTAAATTATTTAATATTATGCGTCCCGATAAAATGGAAAACCCGCTCTCGAAGATTTATTAAACAACAACATTTTATACTGTTAAACCATTGAATCAGCATCACTAGAGACATATTATATGGATTTTTTTTGTTTTGTTTTTGTGTTACTCACAAATTTTGTTGCTCTTGCCGCGTAAGTTGATAACAGCGCCGCAGACCTCTTCAGTGTGATCAAAGGCCTCGCCAATCAGTATGAGTAGCTGTCAGAGGGCGGAAAAGGGGTTGTGCAGTTGCAACAGATATGACAATCGAAGGACACAAAGCTGCTCGAGCTGCTTACCACATCCAGCCAGAGTTTGTCGAGCTCCAGTTTGGAGCCACGCCCCATATTGATGACCCAGCGGCCACCGAACTTGTTGGCATCATCCTCCCACATGGGCCTGAAACAGAAATGGAACTTGTTTGAAGTTAGGGAATAGATAGGACGAAACGAAATTGAATACAGCTCGTTTTTAAATTTTAGATTCATATTAACAAACTATTTTAGTGAAGGGATAATATTTAGTATATTGCAGTAAGTTAAGAATATTTCTAAAATATGTTTTTTTTTTTGGGTAGTTTAATAATAACAAAAAAAAATAAAACTCCACTCACTGTATGCCCTTCTTGAACAACGAATAATCGCTACCGACTTTGATCTCGGATGGTGGTTTTATGTGACTGTACAGGCTCCAAAAGTCCTCGACCATGTCGAAGCTAGTGATCTCATTCTGCATGTCCTCCCAGGACTTGCTGCGATCGTTCTCCAGGTACCAGAGCGTCCACGTGTGCTCCAGAGGATGCTTCAGGCGTAGATCGACGATCTCCTTGAGCGGCTTACGCAGATCCTTCTCCACCAGAGTCTTCAGATCCGTAGAGGAGCTCGAACGGGACTCGGGCAGCATCTCCGTGACGCAGTCCATCACTAAGTCGGTCTGCTTGGTAGTGAGCATTGTCGAGGATGTCGGCAAATTGTCTAGCTTACTGAAACAAATTTATAACACGTCTGGTAGCCACTGGACGCTATTGAAATTTCAGGGCACTTGGAAAACGGCTTTCACACATAGACACAACACGAGAATGTGTTTAAGGGCCTGTCTACGAAACCAGACTGCCTTCGTTCCCAGGGATCTGACACAACCCAGACAGTAAAGGCACGGGGCTGTGCGGGCATGAATTTACTCGCCTCGAGTTGGCCTGGCCCCAATTCATAACTTTTATTGCACGTAAATAATTAGACACTCGTTGGAATTTCTCTTCAAGCACCCCACGCCCTTCGGTTCCACTTCCTGTTTTTCTAATTTAAATTTAAACTTTATATACTCTCATAAGATTCGTTATAAGTTGGTGCCCAACAAAAAATATTACTTTACTATTTATGTATAACAAATGCGCTTGCAAAATACTTAAAAGTATTATAGGACAATGTTTGTATAATTGTAATAATTGCTGAAAAATACAGACTATGAAATTTGCCATTTTATATAACAAATATTACAAATTATTTTTGATTTCTAAGCGGTTGTCGCAGATCATTAAAAAGCACGGATGTTGTTAACCTGTTGGTTAAATGTAAATTATATTTAACTCAAATATGGTGTTTTAAATAATTTAATTTTTTTATCTTACAAACAAATATATATATTAAATAGGTTTCTTAAATTTAGTTAAAAATTTAAAATTGCATGATCAGAACTATAGTTAAACATCTTAAAAAATCTATAAGTATGCATACACTAATGCTGAACAAATAAATTTCTAAGTCAAAAGTAAACATTAAATGATGAACACAAAACTATAATTTTTTCCGTCTGCAGTTCCATGTTCCGCGTTCATTCATGGCCATCTTGTTAGCCTTGGTGATAAGAATCGAGCGCCTTATGCTTTCGTTCATATAAAGCGTTAATTTTATGACACAGAATGGAAGGCACTTGAGCGACTCCAAGTCCGGAGAGAAATTTACGCACTCACACTTTTCGCCGCTGCTGCCTCCTTTCCTTTTTCCTATGATTTTACGACAGTTGAGGAGAAAATGTTCTCTTCACAGAAGGTGGATTTTTCCGGGCTTTGATGGTGTTGATAATGATGATGTTGTTGCTATTGCCAGAGCTGTCGTCTTTTATGCTGCCTGCCATAAAAGTGAAAATATTATGAAGCTTGTTCGAGCTGGAGGAACAATGAAATGGCTACGTAATTGCCGGCAAAGTATCTCGAAAAGCATCTATGAGACAGTTTTTGACTTGTGCAATTGACATTGCTTCGCACAACAGTTGCGATAATATGACAGCCCCGAATGCTAATAATAGACAATAGCGACATTATCGAACTTGTGGCAAGGACTGCGACTTCAATTGGACAGTTAAGTGGCAGGACCTACTAAGAGCGATGGAAGTGCAAGTATCCTTGTCGGTTAACAAACACACAGAACACGCAAAGGGACATCAATTTTAAAAGAAATTTCGTGTCCAGTATAATGCCATATATGCTGACCTTTAGGCGTTCCCTAATTTCCTGATGGAGTAATTCGTCAATCTATGCTTAAACAAAATTAGATAAACTTTATTTCGACAAATAATATGTAGCTACTTACGGTTCTATTGATATCCTTATGAAAGGACAATATCCGAAAACTGCAAAAACTCCTGGTCATTCTTGATTCACATGACAGAATGTCAAAAATGGTGTACTGGAACAATATGTTCAATGCAGATATGGTGAGAAAATAAAAACCATTCCGGTCAATGGCCGTAAAGCGCAAAAAAGGCAACAAGCCATATATAATAGCGCATAGCCAATTGAACCGAAAGTGCTGGCTGATCCGAAGTGTCAGATGAAAAACTTTTGAACGCAGTCTTATCAACCTCTCCGTGATCCCTTGAAGTTGTTTCACCAAGACCACAAATTGTCCACTTTCGAGGACGTGGGATTGGCTTAATGTATCCATATCTTTTGAGATTCTTCGAGTGCATCGGTGCATTTCGCTGTAGCAAGCAATGAGGACCACATATAGACAAATATTTATAGTGATCTGCAGAAGAAAACTCAATAGGACTCCCAGCACAATAAGCAATAATAAACTATTGGCCAACGTGTCATAGGCCTCACCGGAGAAGTCGCGTAACCCCACCAATATGTTGAGGGATCGAAGAAGATTCTGAAGGGCGAGGAGAAGAAGCAGCAGGTGTCTCAACCGAAAGATGTTCGGATGCCTGGACATCACTTTTACTTGCCTCAGTATTCCAAGCATTTCGTTCAATAGCTCAACGATCTCCAGACTCTCCATAAACCCAAGCACTCGAACAGCCAGCAATACAATGCTGCCCACCAAAAATGGCCATGCTTTCTGAGGATTATCGAGCATTTTACTTATGTTAATAAGAAACAAAAGTGACATAAAGGCAAGAATTACGCTGGAATACAGCCGCAGGATACCGGATTGCCGAAAGCATTGTTCCTTCGAGCTGTAGACGTAAGTGGTGACCCCACAGATTTGGGTCACCAGCACGACAAGAAAAAGACACTGTCGAGTGCAGCGGTTAAGCAGATTCACCTTCCTCATCGCGGCTGGACTAACAATTGTTCCGAGACTCGATTTCCCGCCCTTTATGGACGCGAACAGTGGGCGCCCCATTTGAATTATGACCGCACTTTAGCGCTGATGTACGCGCATTAATAAGCGGTCGAAGTTTTGATGGCTTAATAGATATAACGACGGCGGCAACTCTCGCTCCGCGACCACAGCGCATATTCTGTGGTTACCTTACCGTTCCAGACCTCAAAAGTATGCCGGAACTTTGGTCGCACCGAGTACGGTATTAGATAACAAGAACTTTAATACCAAGTGCTGCGGTCAAATCATTACAATTGGTTAGGTCGGCAATTAATTGAAAGCCATTTTAATTGTACCCATAATTCAATATTTGTGTTTACAACAACAAATAAAATATAATAAAACGTATTATTATGTAGCAACATTTTAAATATATTTTTTGATTTTTGACATATAAAATAAGTATTAGCTTACCTACAATATTTTGGGAACAACGTGAATAAGAAATCAGTTAAGAGTAGTGGGTAAATATCAAACTATAATTGGAAAATATTTTAATATAAAACAGATTTTCAATTCTACGGCTATATATATAAGTCTCCTATGCACAAGCTCTAGGTCCATAGTGATATCATTGATCCTTATTTTCATACATTTTAGGCTTATTAAATTTCCTTGAATGCAATGAAGTTTTCGTGTTTAATGCTGAAACGCAAATGCAAATCTTGAAGAAAGGCAACAATTTTAACCTGCCAGGAAAGCACTCTTGCAATTTATTATCGTTGTTTTACTCCAGCTTCCACTTCCATTAACCTCAATAAGTTCTGAGTTATGTTGCGTGTTCTTTAAACAGATTCGAAACGTTCTCCACTGCCGACTGGCATATCTTTCGGCTCCTTTGTTTGCCGGTCAATACGAAGGAAAAACAATCTCAATCTCGTTTTACGCTGCCGTGCGGCGAACACATTTAATTACGCAACATTTACGTTAAAATTTTATTGTCCGCATTACTGAACCGGCACCCGGATCCGGGATCGAGTCCGGACTTGGACTCAATCCTTCGATCCCTCATTCACTGCCATGCACTCAACTGTGGTTTCCGTTACACATTTCGCGCCATTGTCCAAAGGAGGCGTGGTCGGCCCCCTTTTCCCGCCCAGTGCCGACATGCATGAGCTATCTCTCCTGGCAGCAGGCAGCAGGCAGCTCATTTTGATTCGCCTCCGAAACGAGAACGCTTCATTTGCGATGCCAGCGAGCTGGCCGTGTTATTGGCATATTTTTTTAACGCTGCCGACAGGACAGGGCCAACTGATATAGACAGGAGCTCAAGGATGGAACGACTCTATCAGCCCCGGGAAAAAAGAAAAATAACATTGTGGCCGAGAGACTGAAAAACAATGAGCAGGTGGCCCAGAAACCTGAATCAGGTGTCAGGTGCATGGTGCACATCGAAAAATTCCGTCAAATGAATATCAATCGGTGGGTCAATCTCATTCATTGCTAATTTAAGTGGAAACATTGTGGGTGTGAACGGAACCACCAGACAATTTTAATAACGTAAGTACAAAAATCTCCACAGAAATAACAAGTTTCATGACTTGACTATGTTTTTTTTGTGTATTCTTTAAGCATTTTTTTAAATTAAAAGTAAAAAATTAAAAACACAAATCTTTGCAATTTTAAACTCTTAATGATTCACTTTTTGAGATTAAAATTTCCTATTTTTTCACAGCATTTCTTTTGGAAAAGAAGGGAAAATTTTCATTTAAACTTAATTTCTGTATGGAAAAATTAAAGTATCTGGCGGGGGTGCGGAATCGTCAATTGTCAGTTTGTTGCATTATCAGCGCTTTACGGCTCATTTGCGTTCTGAACATGTGTAAACAAGGCGCGGCAGATGGTCCGGCACCTCCTTCAACGCCCCGCCCCAAACAGTTTGCCTTTGACAGGATATGCCAGTCGATATTTCTGCCGGCTAGGACCGGACAAGTCATCATCATCATCAGCAGCAGAAATGTTTTAAACAGCGGTGATTTATGAAATTTTGCAAACAAGCCAGCAACAATTTCAGCTGCAGTCGTGCACGCTCACATTTATTTTGCGCATATTAAGTGAGCACAAATATTTTCGCAATATGTAAATTATGAAACATGCACTCTGTTCCAACCGGAACTTAAAAATATGCCAATGGCGCCTTGTTAAGCGCTCATTACTCACGCCGCCATCCCGAACATGAATGTACATTTAAAGGCTTGCCTGTCCATATATGTCCACCTGTCCCCCTGTCCATCTGTCCAATCAGTGGATGTCCTGCTGGCAGCTCTCCGTGTTGCAGTGCCTCAGTATCTTGTCCGCATTGCCACTTATCTGCGGTTGGGATGACAGTGCATGAATCGGTCGCCGGATGGCCGCAGTTTTGCGGCAGGAGCTCGGCAAAGATGAGCCATAAATTAGTCGGAGTGCATGTTGAACGCGCCCCATGCCCCATGCCACATGATTAACTCTTAAATCTGCTCGTGTTTGAAGTGTACCCTAACCAATGATTGAGCATTCAGAGATTCGCAGCATCAATCAGGTAATCGATTTCCAAATTCAATTTACTGTTGAAGGAACCATTTTGGCCGGGCGCCACAGCTGCCATTATACACTGTTCAAAACAATTGCAATTTTATTTCACAGGGCTTTTTTGGGTTTTGGAAATATTTTGACATGAAAATAAATAAATCATTTGTGTTAACAAAACAAAGTGTAAGCACCCATTAGGTACCCATTATGGATAATTGTACCTAGATAAATTTCACAAACATTTTATATTTGTGTAATAGCTTATAATTTAGTTTTAGGCGTAGAAGGCTGTTTGTTTGTATAAAATTTGTTGTTTGTATTTTGGTAAATTATCTTTTAACTTAATTTTGACAACACTTTGCTGGGATTCGGTGGTGCATTTTTATTCTGTGTAGATCCCATCAGGCAGCTCCCCGGAGGCCCAGCTATCCCTGCACAAACATAGACACCCGATACCGCGCCATTGAATTCACATTCACGTTTTGTTTATTTATTTATTGCAGCCATTGCATTGTTATGCACACCAAGGCAGACAAAATAAATACCAGCACACAGAACAATAAATTTAAAATCTAATTACGCGCACCATTTAATATCGGAGCGGAAGCGGAAGTGGGAGTGGCAGTGGTAGTGGCAACGGTGGGAAAGGCAGTTTGAACGTGAGCTAGCCGGCTGCTGGCTGTGATGGCGCCAAGGTTCCCTGGCGGATTCGGCCAAAAGGAAGCCCAGATCGAACAGTTGAACAGACAAATCCACACAACACATAATAAATAGATAAGCCGCGGCGGCAAGTCTCAAAGGCAGGCAAAAAGCCAAAAAAAAAGGCAATTAAAATTTTGATAAGCAAACAGCAGACGCAGCTCGAATTAGTTATCTCTCTGGATGTGTTTAAAACACGAAAAAATAAAAAACAGAAGCCAAGGCAAAAATAATAAAATTGCTTGTGGCTGAGCTTTTGACTTGCGGGCGGTGGTCAGTGTGGGGCGGTTAAGTGGTCGGTGGGTGGGGGAAGGGGGAAGGGGAAGGGGGTCCTCGGGTCTCGGAATACAAATGAGTTTTCTTTGTTGGCCTCTTGTGCATGTAATTTACACTGAACAGCAGGGTTGCGGTGCGGTGCGGTGGGGCCAGAATAGGGGCATCAACCACATCCGCAACCAAATGGTCAACATTGCTCAACTTGTGAAAAATACATTATGGCTTAAAGTATTTAATTGCACACAATTTTTGGGGTTACTCGAGCCGGCCCGTCGTCGTCCTTGCGCAAAATGCCAAAGTCAAACAGGGCATGTATAAATGTGTGGGTTCGTTCAGGGATTAACGAGATTTGCCCATTACTTCGTTGAGGGATGAATGGCTGGTTTGGTTAAAAAAAAAAAACATAAAAGACCCCGAAGAGATACGCAAACAAAACGCAATTAAAACTAATAATTAATACGACAACAAGCACACGTTTTTCGGGGCCAGCCATCTCCAGTGCCAGCCCCCCGCGGACATTTGTCAAGTGGGTGACCTTCCCGGGGAGTTCGCCTAATAAAATTATGCTTAATTTATATGCAGGCTGCGTCATTTGACTGATGCCTACTAATGACTTCCTAACAATTTTTAATATCTATGCAAATGAACATAAATTGCTGGTCCTTGGCCTCAGCGCTCGCCTCTGACTCCTGTCTTTTGGCTGGCCAAATTATGTGGAGCCGGCTTCCCGCTAACTTTGGTTAACCGTTTAGCTGCCGCTGACCCCGCACAAGTAACCAAAAAAAAAAACAAAAACAAAAATGGAACACAAGTAACAGAGCAGCAAACAACAGCCAGGAGGCCCGGGCAACTGCTCTCTGGCGTTTAATTAAATGACATTATGGCCGCCTCGCCGCTATGTAGGCAGTGAAAAATGCTACAGCGTTCTGGCCCCCATTTCCCATTTCCCAGTCCCTCGCCCACCTCGTCCTCCTCCCCCACCGCTCTACCTTTTCAGATTTTCCTCACAGCTGGCCCTGGGAAAAATGTGTGCATTGGGAGCTGTATTTCAATTTTTGTGGGGGATTGCGTCTAGTTGCTGTCTATTATGCCGAGGTCATTATTACGCTTATAGAAAAAGTTATCCTTGAGATCATCTGGGGAGCGGTTGTTGTGAGTGTGCAAAGTGTGTGAATATTTGGCACCTCAAAGGTGTAGAAAGAAAGGTACATTCTTTTAAAATGTTTGTCTTTCAGCTTAAGCTTAAATTTCAAAGACTTACGGTATTTTGCCTCTGTCTCTGAGCCTTGTGTAATTGCTGCATTTCTCATGCAGATGGCACACATTTCATATTCTCTGGACTCCGTTTTTCCCCGACTGAATTTGCATTGCAAATAATCATTTTTAAGTTGCTAATGATGGCAAAACAGGCCGGGCAAACCCTTCGTTCCAGTGGGACAGTGGACAGTGGGCAGGACAAATTAAAT